ATTGGTATTCTTACAATCTTTTTTTATTACATATAAACGATGGGTCACTTAAGAAGATAATCTAGGCAAGAACCATGTAAGTATCACCTATTATATGTATATTATATATATATATATATATATATATATATATATATATATCAGGAGTGATAATAGGAATTTCTATAATAGGGGAGCAAGGATATAGGGATAATTTCCTATTATCTACTCCTGATATATATAGATATATAATTTATATTTCTACTACATATAATATAACTACTACACAGCGGGACCACTGTCGTAGTAACAGCTTAGCTTCACAGCTGCTGCCACGTACGTCTGTTTACATAATAACACCCAGTGAAATAACCCGCTACATACGACGCTAACAGGTTGACTACGTGACGGGAGTACACGAAAATAACATGGGTGTCTGTCACGTGGCAGACTGACTATTCATGAAGGGTGTTGGCTATCCGCCCGGGCGTGAGGGACAGTCACGTGATACAGTTGACGTATACTTCAAAGTCCAAATCTTCCACAGTCATACTTCCGTACTAGACATGGCCTTATATCCCTAACCCTAACCCTGATCCTAACCCTAATCCTAACACTAGTGCTGCCACATTACGGTACTGTCCCTCCACGCGCCGGGGATAGAATTTCCCATTCACGAACATTGCAGGTAATGAAAAACGCTAGCCGTCCACTGCAGCTCTAGCAAAACCATTCGTGGACAACTCACGGAACAATTCGCGGCAGAAACGGTCAGGGTGCTCGCCGAATGACCGCGAGCAGTAAACGAGCTAACTTCTGCGCGTTCCTAATGATATACCACACTATTATTCACTGGTCGTTACTGAAGAAGGCAAAATCCTAATAGACACATTCCACGTCAATCGGTCCCCATGCTAACACGTTTGCGCATATATCATGAATTAACTGAACGCGGATTCAAGACCACCCAGATGTCAGTCTAGCAAGTCTATCGCGTTCGGTGCATGACACGGGTGACACATAGTAAGCCTTATTTCAAATGGTATAATGAGATTGGGGGGCAAGTATTGCTGATGCGAGGTCTGCTAGGGGTGGTTCAGGCTGCGGTTACGTATGCTATCGCCTGCAGCTGATGCACTGAGGCTGCTGTCTGTGTGAGTGCAGTGGCCTTGTCACACAACACGCACACCCAGCACACACAATCACCATATACACACACACACACACACACACACACACACACCACACACAGCACACACACACACACACACCTAGACATCACTGGACTGTGAAGCGAGGCCGTGTCAGACCCCTCGTTGTCACTACTGCGACAGCGTGTGACACCAGTGACACGATTTGTTACCCCGATTGTTACGGCAGACCAAGACGTGGACGCTAACCCTGATGCGGGTCACCTCTCACATGTTCTTGTCGTACACGGGTATTACGTAACCAGGGCTGTTAACCAATACATCCTTCTCTCCAACACCCTTGCACCTGTTTCCCCCTTTCACACATTTCCTTCTCCACCTTCCCCCCCCCCCTTCCTGCTGTTCCGTGTTCCGATTTCTCGCTTCGCAGATTTCCCAATCTCCACCAGGGCCCCTCCTCCGTGCCGCACCTTTCCAGTTTTAACGCTTCACCGTTTGCTCGTGCACACCAGGCCCTTGCCCTGCAGTGCTTCTCAACATGCTGGCTCCATCAATCACTGCTGTCCTCCGTCACTATCTACAATGCCCTTGATCGCGAGAAGAGCTTCTTGCCTTCTGGAGTCTTTCTTCTGAGCGGGCGTCTCCCCTTGTACAGGCTTTGTACATTCCTTCGACTCGACGACGACCTGTGTGGGTAACGATAGCCACAACTTATGTTAATGATAAATTAACGCACCGGCTATTTATTGAATAAACGTATGTTAACGGCATATGTATGAATAAGAGCATGAACGAAGTTTGA